CCCAGGGGTGAGCCTGTAATGAAGAGGGAGGATTTGTAGTTTGGCTCTGTATATAAGAATTTGTTCATGCAAACAACTTTCTTGATGTTACAGTGATGAACAAGTATGTGTGGAATGATGCTTAGCTGCAGGGCTCGCAGGTACCCTAAACCAGTGTATAAGCCTTTAAATGTGCTTTGTAAAGCTGCCTTCTGGCTGTGTCCTCAGTCAACTCCAAAACTGGTGTTGGTTCGGTGTGTTTTTATTTATTTATTTAAGTATTTATAGACTATGCTTCCATAAAAATACAACGTGGCAGTATGCAGCCCATAAAGTTGCAATAAGGTCAATAAAAAGCATCAATAAAAACAAAAAGAGATCCTAGTTTGTAAAATCAGACTCACGCGGCAAATGGCTGTCTGAATTAACAATAGGTTTTAGGGCACAGCTTCTGTCCATTCCCAAGAGCCACCAGAGAGGCTAAATTGCAAAAACGTTCTTGTAGCCTAGTCCTATAAATGTTTGCTTAGACGAAGGGTCCATCAAGTTCAGGGGAGCTTTCTCCTGAGTAACTGCACCTAGCACAAAAGCTTTGGGGTTTCTTGTGGAATCAGCCTGTTTTATGTCTACACTGTTTCACAAGCACAGCCCCTGCTGTTTTCTGCAACCCAGAACCCCTCTAAGCTTTTGTCTAGCCAAACTGCCCTCCCTAAATTCCTTTCCTTTGCCACTCTCTGGTGCAGCCAGGGTGATGGGTTTTTCCCGGCTCAGTGCTGCAGTCAGCAGGCTTCGCTCTGGCTGCGTCTCTTCCCTCGCGGCATGCAAGCAAGCCGGGTGATGACTAATCGTGGCGCATTAGCAAAAACCCCTGCAGCTTTGCATCTTGGGGAGGAAGAATCCATCGATTGGGGAGCTTTTATCCAGAAAGGCAGCCTGCTCTGCACACAGCTGGAGACTCCCGCCCCCCAGCGTCTCCCCATTTCCTTCCTCTCAGGAGTGAAGGGATAAAACACAGCTTGCAAAGTTTAGCAGAACCTACTGTCTTACCAGTGGCGTAGCATGGGGGGTGCAGGGGGGGCCGGCCGCACCGGACGCAACACCTGGGGTTAGGGCAAATCCATGGGTTAGGGGGCGCAAATCCACAGGTTAGGGGGCGCAAATCTACTGGTTAGGGGGCGCAAATCTACTGGTTAGGGGGCGCAAATTACTTGCCTTGCCCCGGGTGCTGACAACCCACGCTACGCCACTGTGTCTTACTCCCCCTTTCTGAAACTCAGGACAGTTTCTTCTGAAGATTTGTGGTGCCTTTGTGTAAGATCAAAACTGGTTGTTTACAGGATGGAAGAGTTTTTGGGACCTAAATGATTAAGGCCCAAAATATCTTAAAGGTAAAGGTAAAGGTACCCCTGCCCGTACGGGCCAGTCTTGCCAGACTCTAGGGTTGTGCGCTCATCTCACTCTATAGGCCGGGAGCCAGCGCTGTCCGCAGACACTTCCGGGTCACGTGGCCAGCGTGACAAAGCTGCATCTGGCGAGCCAGCGCAGCACACGGAACGCCGTTTACCTTCCCGCTGGTAAGCGGTCCCTATTTATCTACTTGCACCCGGGGGTGCTTTCGAACTGCTAGGTTGGCAGGCGCTGGGACCGAGCAGCGGGAGCGCACCCCGCCGCGGGGATTCGAAACGCGACCTTTCGATCGGCAAGCCCTAGGCGCTGAGGCTTTTACCGACAGCGCCACCCGCATCCCTCTAAGGCCCAAAATATCTTAAAATGCAACAATATGTTAAGACAAACACCATCCTGTGTGTTAAGATCAGCAAAGATGTTCAAGTGGTAGTGGGGTGTAAGAGGACATTCTCTGCAGCAGCCCCACAAGTGTGGGGTTCTCTTCCTGTAGAGGTGCATCTGATGTCCTCATTGTAGGGCTATTGCTGTATGCTGATGACCTAACTCTTTACCCATCCTTTCTGAGTTACATATCTTAGAGATTACCTTTATTCTCTGTCTCTAAATTGTATTTCAGGTGTTGTGTTATGCGTTACCTTTATCTGATCTTCAGTTGTAGCATCTCGGAGTTGTTCGAACCTGCCCTGGGATCTTATGGTGAAGAGTGGATATCATATCCTACAAATAAATAAACTAACATAGTTCAGGGACACATTCCGGCCAGGCAAAGGTGCTCAAGGAAAGCCTGGAGCAGGGCCAGTGACCTGTGGAAGAGACAGGACATAAGGAAAGTCCCAGGGGCCAGGCAGAGCTCTGGAGGGCTGCATTTGACTCTTGAGAAGTAGTGGACCATTAGAAGAGCAGCCTGGATCAAGCCAGTGGAACATCTAGTCCAGCATCCTCTAATAATAATAATAATAATAATAATAATAATAATAATTTATTATTTATACCCCACCCATCTGGCTGAGCTTCCCCAGCCACTCTGGGAAGCTTCCAACAAAAGATTAAAATACAGTAGTCCATCAAACATTAAAAGCTTCCCTGAACAGGGCTGTCTTCAGGTGTCTTCTAAAAGTCTGGTAGTTGTTGTTCTCTTTGACATCTGGTGAGAGGGCGTTCCACAGGGCGGATGCCACCACCGAGAAGGCCCTCTGCCTGGTTCCCTATAACTTGACTTCTCACAGTGAGGGAACCACCAGAAGGCCATCAGCACTGGACCTCAGTGTCCGGGCAGAACGATGGGGGTGGAGACGCTCCTTCAGGTATACTGGACCGAGGTCGTTTAGGGCTTTAAAGGTCAGCACCAACACTTTGAATTGTGCTCGGAAACGTACTGGGAGCCAATGTAGGTCTTTAAAGACCGGTGTTATGTGGTCTTGGCGGCTGCTCCCAGTCACCAGTCTAGCTGCCACATTCTGGATTAATTGCAGCCAGTGTGGTGTAGTGGTTAAGAGCGGTAGTCACGTAATCTGGGTAACCGGGGTCGCAACTCCGCTCCTCCACCTGCAGCTGCTGGGTGACCTTGGGCTAGTCACACTTCTCTGAAGTCTCTCAGCCCCACTCACCTCACAGAGTGTTTGTTGTGGGGGAGGAAGGGAAAGGAGATTGTTAGCCGCTTTGAGACTCCTGAAGGGGAGTGAAAGGCGGGATATCAAATCCAAACTCTTCTTCTTCTGCTTTCCAGGTCACCTTCAAAGGTAGCCCCACGTAGAGCACATTGCAGTAGTCCAAGCGAGAAATAACCAGAGCAAGCACCACTCTGGTGAGACAGTCTGCAGGCAGGACCCAAGCACGAGAGTCCTCTCCCCACTTCTGATTCCCAGCACCCCACTTCTGATTCAGAAGCACACTGCCTCTAACTGTGTAGGAAAGAGCATAGCCACTGATAGACTTAGCCTCCATGAATTTGCCCAGTCCTCTTTTAAAGCTATCTAAGTTGATGGTCATTACTGCGTCCTGCAGGAGCAAGTTCCACAGGTTAACTCTGCAGCACCGCATGTAGAAGTACTTTCTCCCGTGCCAACTGTAGAAACTTGGCACAAAGCTGCAGAGAACCGGGTTCGCGTCTCCACATGCAGCTGCTGGGTGACCTTGGGCCAGTCACACTTCTTTGAAGTCTCTCAGCCCCACTCACCTCACAGAGTGTTTCTTGTAGGGGAGGAAGGGAAAGGAGATTGTTAGCCGCTTTGAGACTCCTGAAGGGGAGTGAAAGGCGGGATATCAAATCCAAACTCCTCTTCTTCTTCTTCTTCTTCTTCTTCTTCTTCTTCTTCTTCTTCTTCTTCTTCTTCTTCTTCAGAGGCATCCTGGGGCAATTTGCCTGCCACGCGGTTCCATTTCCTCTGCTCCCTTTCTCCCCTTCTCCTTCCTCACTCTCATCCCTGAGCGCAATTCAGAATTATTATCTGATCATTCATTGATTCGTTAATGGCCGTGAGAATTGTTCCCTGTCTCTCTGAATAGGGCTGGGAGGAGATTTCGGTGTATCCGTTTTGCATGTGGAGTTTGTCATTCTCCAAAAGATGACCATCTGCTATAACCCAAAGTCTAGTTCAGGCCCAAAAACAGGACCAGGCTGGAGAGAGGGAGATGAGTTTTATGAGGCCGTGGGGATGAAGGCAAGCCAGCTGGGACAAAAGAAAGCATTTTTAAAAAATCTGCTCCTTTTTAAAATGTATAAACTGTGCTTTCGTCCACATATGGATTCCAGGGTGGCTTACACAAAAATAGAAATATCCCTACATAGAAATATTTCACATCCCTGAACAGGAAGATGAAATCCATCAGCCCTAAATAAAAGGGGGGAGTCATGTTCTGATCCTGCCATGGGGTATGTAAGAACATTGTTAGAAGGACCTTGTTATCCATTGTGTTCACACCACACCTTGTCCTTTCCACCTTTATGGACTCACCCAAGGAACAAGTTAGGAGCCCATCTTTGAAGGAGGCTGTGCCTGGAGGAAGAACTGTGAAGGAAGAGACTCCATCTGGCAAGGCCTCCTTCCCCCTGCCGTGCTCCACCCTCTAGTCTCTGCTTCTCAATTTGTATTGTATTATTTCATGTACTGTGGCTTGCCGTGGTTTTACTGATTATAGTTTAGAAATTATTTATCGTAACTGTTGAGGGTGAATTTCTGTAACTTTTATATGCTGGTATTATTTTATACTACTCTAATGATTGTTGAATGTTACATTTTGATGTAGGTTGCTTGTTTTAAAGTTTTGCATTATTATCACATTTTTGTATTGCATTAGGTTGTTATAAGATGTACATTTTTTGTTTCTTCAGCTTGTAAAACGCCTTGAGTATTGGAAGATAGAAAGACGGTATACAAATTTTTTAAAAAATGTTGATGCAATATTAAAACCAAATAATGAACTATTGAATATTAAACCAGAGGCTATACAAGCACCTGAAACAAGTCTCTGCAAATAAAAGCATCTTACCAAATAGGAAAAGCTTTATGGTTTGAAATCTAGGCATCCCTAAATGCACCTTGCTATAACCCATGTTTGTTCTAACCCCAAAATCCTTTCCCTCCCCCTTTTTATATCTCTCGCTCTTTCCCCAGCTGAAGTGACAGCCAACGTCACCGCCAAGACCTGCGGTTCCATGGCTATGTCCCTGCCAGGGAGCAGAAGACCCTCAACGGGATCCCGGAGGTGAATATCACGAACCCTTCCCCTCTACATTGCGGAATGGGACTCCCAGCAGCATTCCTGCTGGTTCACAGCAAAGGAACCATCCTTGCCCCTACCCCAGCCTTGCCCATACAGCTTTCCTAGAGCGGAGAGAGAGATGGGGTGCTCTCCAGCGATATGGAAGGAGCCTCTTCTCCTTCCATGTGCTTCGCAAATGTACAGGATTATGAATGCTGCACAGTGCCTTGTGGGGACTGCAGAGCTGCTAGGAAGGAGGGACAGGTTGTTTCTTGTGGCTGCCGTAATCCAAAGTTGCATGCCTGTTGACCACACCTTGGCACAACATTTGCATGCCTCCTCACCTGTTGTGCATGTGTGAACCGCTCCATCACAATAACTGAAGCCGCAACCCCGCACTTCAGTTCTGGGTAGCCAAAGGCAGTCGTTGGGGAGGCTGCTTCCTCAGGAGCAGGGGGGTGATCTGTTGGCCCTGGCGGTTTGCCCTTCGCTGCGTTCCCTGTCCCTTAGTGTGTTTTCATACATTGGAGGTCCCTGCCATTCCCATTTGCGAAGGCACCTCCTGAGAACAGGGCTGCCAGGCTCTTCAATAGGCTCTGCTCCTGTGCCTTTAAGGCAAGCCTGCGCAGCTTGCGATGAGCCAAGCCAAGCACGGCTCTCCTGTCACGCTCAGTGACCTGTCAGGTCCTGCCAGCCACAAGAGCAACGCTTGTTGTTGTTTGAAAATGCCAGCCCTGCCCGGGGAGAGCAGAGCAATGCTGAGCTGTTGTCAGACGCCTGAGTTCCCTGGGTTCTTTCTCAGGAACGAAAGCATGTGTGTTAATATGGATGGGAGCGAGGAGAGGGTGTGCCGACCATTTTCACTTGCTGAAAAGGACTAGGAATTGTTCACCCCTGGGCAAGATGCCATGGATCTAAAGTACAAGGAGACAGATTTAGGCGAAACGTGTTAGTAAGCTGCCTGTGGTGCTGTGGAATGTCAAAACAGAGACATGTCAAGCACTTAGTACCTAGCGCACTCAGATAGCAGTGTCCTTTCCAACCCTTTGATTATATGACTTCTTATCATAGTTTTAATTTTTATTTAGTGTTTCTATACAGTGGACGTTGCGAACGTGATTTGTGCAGGATGCACGTTCGCAATCCGCAGCGTTCGCAACCTGCAGCAGCATGTCTGCGCACGCGTGGGTTGCGATTCGTTGCTTCTGCATATGCGCAAAGCGCAATTTAGCGTTTCTGCGCATGCGTGACCTCCGAAACCCGGAAGTAACCTGTTCCGGTACTTCCTGGGTTTCGGACGCGTCCATAACCTGAAAAAACGCAACCTGAAGCGTCTGTAACCTGAGGTATGACTGTACTATCCATGAACAATAAGTGCCCTGGGCAGATTACAACTTTAAAGATGTAGAATCGTGAGATGCAGATGTAGAAATACAATGCGAGGGTAAAGTCAAAAGCAAATTAAGACAACGTTATTATATAAACAATGGAATCTCGGTTTTCGAACGTAATCCGTTCTGGAAATCCATGCAACTTCCAAACGTTCGGAAACCGAGGACCAAAGGTCTGTCAGCAAGTTCAATGGGGAAAATTGAGAAACACACACCTCAGAAGCCGTTTAGCTTCTGAGGTGCATTCGAAAACGGAAGCATTCCCTTCCGGGTTTTTGGCGTTCGGCTTCCGAAACGTTCGGCACCCGAGACATTTGAAAACCGAGGTTTGACTATGTGTGTATATAGTCAATTAATACATGTTCCCTTGCAAGCATCTCTCCTAGCTTTTCCTATCCATCTATCTAGAATGTTGCTTAAAGGGTCTCTGCCGCCTCTTGTCATCCCAAAGGCAGCCTAAGGATGATACTGTATTTTTCCGTGTATAAGACTAGGTTTTTTTCCTTTAAAAATATTTCAAAAAATAAGGGGCGTCTTATACACGGAATAGTGCCAAGGGTGGGTTGGTGATTGGTGAGTCCCCCCAAACAGGGGGCGTCTTTTACATGGAGGCGTCTTATAGACGGAAAAATACGGTACTTCCCAGCACTTCCCCTGTATGATCAGATGCTTTTTCCTGGGCTCTAAGCTCCATGAAAGTGATGGGGTGCTCCTGCTGGGGTGCTGGGGAGTGGTGCTGGGGGCTTGCAGCGCCCTCCTCAGGCCCGCCTTTGCTACTGCTTCACTAACCTGTTTGCAGAGAGAGCTTTTGCCACGTTCCATTTTGAACCCCGCCTGTTTGTTCTTGTCGTTTGTTTTGTTCTGTTCTGTCCTGTTTTGTTTTTTTTCTTCTTCCTGTATTCGTGTTTTCCTTTGGTGGTGGTTTTTTGTTTGTTTGTTTGTTTTAAGCCGTGAGTTTTACGGAAGGAGTGGCTTTGCCTCGTTCTTTAAGTCTGCAACGGCCCCTGCCACTCCGACTGAGAAACAGCCTCTTCTTCCCGCCTCCAGGCGTCCCTCTCCGCCAGTGAGCATGCGGGACACCTACGGCACCTCCTCGCTCAGCAGCAGCAGCAACTCCGGCTCCTGTAAGGGCAGCGACAGCAGCCCCACCCCAAGGTAACCCTTGGCTCCTGGAAGGGCAGCAGCACACACACACACACACACACACACACACACACACACACAGACATCACAAGCGTGCAACATAAGAGAGAGAATTGCCTTGCCAACCCAGCAGTGGCCTGCTAATTATTATTATTATTATTATTATTATTATTATTATTATTATTATTATGTTTATGTTTATGTTTATACCCTGCCCATCTAGCTGGGTTTCCCCAGCTACTCTGCGTGGCTTCCAACAAATTATTAAAAGACAGTAATGCATCAAACATTAAAAGCTTCCCTAAACAGGGCTGCCTTCAGATGTCTTCTAAAAGTCTGGTAGTTGGTTTTCTCTTTGACATCTGGTGGGAGGGTGTTCCACGGGGCGGGTGCCACCACCGAGAAGGCCCTCTGCCTGGTTCCCCTGTAACCTCACTTCTTGCAATGAGGGAACTGCCAGAAGTCCGCTGGACCTCAGTGTCCGGGCTGGACGATGGGGGTGGAGATGCTTCTTCAGGTATACAGGACCGAGGCTGTTTAGGGCTTTCAAAATGACTCCCAGACTGCGCACCTGGTCCTTCAGGGGCACAGTTAACCCATTCTGGACCAGGAAGTCCCCCACACCTGCCCACCCCCTGTCCTCCCAAAACAGTACTTCTGTTTTTAATAATAATAATAATAATTTTTTATTTATACCCCACCCTTCCCGGTTCAGAAAACCAGTTTCAGGGCGGCTAACAACAAATTTAAAGCACTTAATTGTGATACAACAAAAAAACAGCATAAAATACAGTATAAAAGCGTGAATAACAGTAAATTCAAAGTTCTAAAATCAATTTGGGGGAAAATCCATCCAATAAACATTAGATGATCACCAGGGCTAGCTGACTAAATTAGTCCTCTTTGGGTCAGCGAGGAGGCCAGGGGAGAATTAGCCTCTAGGATAGCTGCAAGCTGAGCAAAGTAGAGGCATTGTTGTTGCACATTAGTCCACAGCACCTGGTACTCCGGGAGTATACTGCCTCTGAATATGGAGGGTTCTGCTCAGCTTGGTCTTTGCCAACCTGGCAGCCTCCACATGTTTTGGACTACAACTCCCATCAGCCTAGGCTGATGGGAGTTGTAGTCCCAAAGGATATTCAAGAGTCTGGAAACCAAGCCGTATGAGGAACGGTTGAAGGATCTGGATATGCCTAGCCTGGAAAAGAGGAGAGATGGGATAGCCATCTCCAAACACCTGTGAAGGTCTGTCGCGTGGAAGCTGGAGCAGTGGCGTAGCGTGGGGGTGCAGGGGGGGCCGGCCGCACTGGGCGCAACATCTGGGGGTTAGGGTTAGGGGGCGCAAATCCACGGGTTAGGGGGCACAAATTACTTGCCTTGCCCCGGGTGCTGACAACCCACGCTACGCCACTGAGCTGGAGCAAGCATGTTTTCTCCTGCTCTGGAGGGTAGGACTCAAACCAATGGATTCAAGTTGCAAGAAAGGAGATTCTGACTAAACATCAGGAAGATAGATAGATAAGATAAAACTTTATTCACATTAGCCAATGGCCATACCAACAGTAAAACATTACAGTATACACAGAAAAGGAAGTTTGATATAAGAGCACAATTTAAAGTCCTGAATCAGCAGTCAGTTAGTGGCCCTTATTCTGATTGCCTCCTATGCACCTAGCAACCTTTGCTGTTATCTTCTCATTTTGATCTGATAGAAGAAAGGACATTGTGGCAGTGGCTGAACACCCTGCGATGGTTAGTACGAGTGGGGCGATGATCTCGTTCCTCAGGTCTTTGTATGGAGTACAGGACAGGAGGACGTGTGCCGCTGTTTCGGTGCTGCCGTCTCCACAGGGGCAAAGACGTTTCGCAGGCAGGATCTTTTGGAATCGACCCTCAAGTACCGCAGATGGCAAAACATCCAGTCTTGCAAGTGTAAAAGCACGTCTGTGTTTTGGGATAATAAGTTTGTGCAGATCTGGGGCCAGAGAATCAAAATGGAGAGGTGGAAAATGAACATACCAAGGGCAGAATTTCCTTATAGTGGCCAGGTTGTTCTGAAACATCAGGAAGAACTTTCTGGCAGTAAGAGCTGTTCAACCGTGGAATGGAGTCCTTCAGAAGGTTCACTGGAGGTTTTCAAGCAGAGGTTGTATTGCAGGGGATTGGACTAGATGGCCCTTGGGGTCCCTTCCAACTTTGATTCTATGAAAACATTTGAAGGGCACCCAGCTGGCAAAGGCTAATTTAGCCGTTCTGGCTAATAGCCATCAATCACCTAACCTCAACATGTCCAATATAACTGGGGAAATGTAATTGATTAGGCCAATCCTAACCTGGCACCAGTGTACTGCCAAATAATAGCAGATTTAACTCCTACTGCAGGTTCACTCAGGCTGTTCTGCAGCACAGAAGAGTAGCTAGGAAGCAACTGGAGGGTAATCTGCCTGTACTCTTTTATTGCATGCTTATGAGTGGAAGGAACTACATTCCTAACTATATTTGTATGCAACTGTGAATATGAATTCAGCTGCTGATAATAAGGCTGGACCGGTGAATGAACCCCAATAAATAAATAAACCCCATAAAAGGGGCTGGATTCTGTCTTTAAAAGTAGCTGTTTCAAAAGAGCAGTACTGCAGTATGTGCAGACTAATTCTGAACTCAGTTGAAATGAGGGCAGTTACACGCTGCTAAAACTGGAGCATAACGTAGGTCCCTTGATACAGGGTTTCAGAAGTGATCAAATTCACCATTAGTGCGGAAGGGCAAGGAAGTTGCCAACAGATTCCGTATATCTATATATCTATATCTAGATGATAGATATAGATAGATAGATAGATAGATAGATAGATAGATAGATAGATAGATAGATAGATATCGCAATTGCCCTTATGCACCTGTCCTTTGCATACAACCTATGCATTGACCTGGGATTAAAATATAAATAAATATGGATTGTATTTCAGGAACCTTAAAAATTAAGTCCAATGTTGCAATAGTAAAAAGGAAAGGAAAGGAAAAGGCTCCATTCAACAGAAACTTTGTGAAGGTCACCAGTTATTGCAGCTGCAAATGGAATAGTGCTCGAAGGATGCACTTTCACGTTACACATTTTTGGCAGTGTTCCTGTCCTCGGCTCCTGCTTCTCCCATCTATAACATCCAGCCCAGCCTACCTGACGTCATGATGATGTGTATGTCCTCCCTGCCATCACATTCCCTGCTCCGCATCACTGGCAGGACCAGGGAGCCACGCATAAGCATATATACCGTATTTTTCGCTCTATGGGACACACTTTTCCCCCTCCAAAAATTAAGGGGAAATGTATGTGCGTCTTACGGAGTGAATGCAGGCTCCTTGGCTTCAGTGATAGCAACGCAAAGCCTCCGAAGCGCAGAGGGAGCGCTCCCTCCGCGCTCCAGAGGCTTTGCGTTGCTTTTGCTGAAGCCTGGAAAACGAGAGGGTTCGGTGCGCACCGACCCCTCTCGCTCTCCAGGCTTCAGGGATAGAGACTCCTGGCTTCAGCAAAAGGAACCTGAAGCCTTTGGAGTGCAGCGGGAACTCATGCTGCACTCCAAAGGCTTCGGGTTCCTTTTGCTGAAGCCAGGAGAGCAAGACTCTCCTGGCTTCAGCAGAGAGGGAGAGCTGCGCAGCGCCCCTTCAATGAAGCGGGAGGAGAAATGGAAGGGGCTCCGTTTCTCCTGCCGCTTCGCTGAAGGGGCGCTGAGCAGAGAGGGGGAGATTTTTTTTTCTTGTTCTCCCCCGCTAAAACAAGGTGCGTCCTATGGTCAGGTGCGTCCTATAGAGTGAAAAATACGTTATATGTTTTTATAAGCCTGCAATCTTTGTAACATATATTTCCACTGCAAGTTCGTAACATTGGACTTGATCCCATTTAATAATAATAATAACCTATAATATTTAATCAGATTCAGTAGTACTGGGGCCCTCCTCCTTGGGAGTCCAGGCCTCATTCCCAGAACAGTTCTGAAAGGCTAAACTCTCATCTTACCAAAAGGGTCCTCTGCTGCCATTACGTTTGAAGGCAATCCTTTTGAGCTCTCTGGGAAGGAAGGAGGAGGTGTGAACTGGCATAGAGATGGACCAAATTAAGGAAGACAGGCCAGGTCCCAGATTCCTAACTCTACACTCGGGATTGCACATAGACTTCTCCAGGTTTTGTAGTGGGAAGACGATGGCAAAGACTTGTGCTGCTTTCCTAATTTCTCTTTCTTTATCAATGTAGACACTGAGCGTTTAGGAAGCAAGTATAAATGTGGACAGGAAATCTAGAGACAGCATCAGTCCCACACTCCAGTGTTCTTGAAAGCAGCCGATCAGCCGGGGAACTTTTAGCCATCTGTTCAAACCAGGCTTAAACTCATACTCTAAACCCTAACCCTTACACTGGCTGTACAGTGGTACCTCGGGTTAAGTACTTAATTTGTTCCGGAGGTCCGTTCTTAACCTGAAACTGTTCTTAACCTGAAGCACCACTTTAGCTAATGGGGCCTCCTGCTGCCGCTGTGCCGCCGGAGCACAATTTCTGTTCTTATCCTGAAACAAAGTTCTTAACCTGAAGCACTATTTCTGGGTTAGCGGAGTCTGTAACCTGAAGCGTATGTAACCTGAAGCATATGTACCCCGAGGTACCACTGTATTCAAAACTGCCAGGACACTGCCAGGCAGGCAAGACACTGGCTTCAACCCTGACAGTAGCAGATAGATGAGGTCCATAGTCCAACATCCCTATTAAGCAAGCCCTTTTGAATAATTAAGGGACGTGGGTGGCGCTGTGGGTTAAACCACAGAGCCTAGGACTTGCCGATCAGAAGGTCGCGGTTCGAATCCCCACGACGGGGTGAGCTCCCGTTGCTCAGTCCCTGCTCCTGCCTAGCAGTTCAAAAGCACGTCAAAGTGCAAATAGATAAATAGGTACCACTCTGGCAGGAAGGTAAATGGCGTTTCCGTGCGCTGCTCTGGTTCGCCAGAAGCGGCTTAGTCCTGCTGGCCACATGACCCGGAAGCTGTATGCCGGCTCCCTCGGCCAGTAAAGTGAGATGAGCGCCGCAACCCCAGAGTCGGCCACGACTGGACCTAATGGTCAGGGGTCCCTTTACCTTTACCTTTGAATAATTAAGCTGCACAAAACCCCACTTAATTATTTACTTTAGTCATTTCTAACCTGCCCTGGGGGGGGGGGGATTCTTTGAAGTCTATTTAGAAATGTCTAAAATAAACCAATTAAAATGTAGGCTTTTGTACAGCTTGACAGCTAAGTACCGTATTTTTCGCCCTATAGGACGCACTTTTTCCCCTCCAAAAAATGAAGGGGAAATGTGTGTGCGTCCTATGGGGCGAATGCAGGCTTTCGCTGAAGCCTGGAGAGCGAGAGGCTTCAGGAGAGCCCCACTGCCAGCCCCACAAGCTCGGGGGACAGCGGGGAGGCAGAACGCTGCTATCCCGCTGTCCGCCGACTTGGTTAGAAGGCTGGCGGGGGGGAGAAGCCTGCTCCTCCCCGTCACCAGCCCCGCAAACTTGGGGGACAGCGGGGAGGCGCAGCGCGCCATCTCGCTGTCTCCCGACCTGGTTTGGAGGCTGGCGGAGGGATTCCCCCTCCCCCAGCCCCGCAAGCTCCCAGAGCGATGCCAAAGCTGCACGCAGCTTCGGCATCGCTCTGGATCCCGTTCTGGGGGCTGGAGAAGCTCAGGCTCCCAGTGCTCTGGGTCCTGTTCTGGGGGCTGGGGGAGGGGGAAGCTCGGGCTTCCCCAGCCCCGCGCCTGGGGGGGGGCATAAATTTTTTCCCCTTTCTTTCCCCTCCCAAAATCTAGGTGCATCCTATGGGCCGGTGCGTCCTATAGGGCGAAAAATACGGTACTCATCATGGAATCAATATATAGGTAATAAAGCAATCATACAATTCAAAAATCAACAGTAGACTAATACAGTTTACTGTTAAAAATCAAGGATATAAAACATCATGGTTAAAAAGCCAGGTCAAGGTGGGGAGAGATCGGAAACAGACACACCTCTCTGGGCAAAGCATTTTAACACTGGAAAAAAGAAACTTCCCCTCATTGACACTGATAGGATCGGGACCCCTGCCACAGCCTAAGCTCTGGAGAGCTGTTTTTTGTGGGGGGTTTCTACAGCAGAATATTACTGTACAACAAATTTATTTTTAACTTATTTTAGCTATGTATTTATGATCCCCCATTACTCCCGAAAGGCAGAAATCTAGCCAAGGTCAGTGGTTATGGATAAATACAGAAAGGGTGCTGGGTACTGCAAAGTACTAGGGTTTGGCAAATCGACACCATGCCAAGGGTCTTGCAAGCGTGAAGAAGCGTCTTTCGTCTTAAATGTCTGTCTGATTTCCCCCTCTGCTGCTCTTCTCTGTTTCTTCATTTGCTACAGTCATTAGTCTGCTATATCTCCACATTACTCCATCCTGGGCAAGAGGCAACACTAAAGCATCCTTCGCACGGGGTCATTGCTCTCCTCTGTTCTTGCTTGGCTTTGGAAGAGAAATCTGGAGAAAGGAGCAGAAAAATCTGAGCTCGAAACGCCCACAGTTACCGTATTTTTCACTCCATAAGACGCACTTTTTTCCTCTTAAAATCTAAGGGGAAATGTCTGTGCGTCTTATGGAGTGAATGTGTGGTCCCTGGGGCTGGGGGGGGGGACCCGGGCTTCCCCTACCAGCCCCGACCTGTTCTTTGGGGCTGGCGGTGGGGGAAAGCGCTTCTGGGGTATCCCGTGAAGCCCCCGCAGGGCAGTGGGGAGCCTTCATCCCGCTGCCCTGGGGAGGCTTCGCGCGGCTATCCCTGGCTTTTGCGGGAGGTGGGGGAAGGGACAGGGCGAGGCTCTCTCACTTCCCCCACCTCCCGCAAAAGCCCCCAAGAGCCGCATTTTTTTTCTTGAACCCCCCCCCCAAAAAAGTAGGTGCGCCTTATGGTCAGGTGTGCCTTATGGAGCGAAAAATACGGTAACTTAGCAGTGTCAACATAGGCAGCACTGTCCCGAGTTTCTGAAGCTTAAAAGGTGAACCCCAAGGTGCTTGCAGTCTAATTTTCAGCCGTGGGAGACAGAACAAGAGAGTGAATGTGAGAAAGTGAGGAGATGCAATCATGTGCTCTGAACCTTCCCCGGACCAGGAAGGGAAATCTCCCTTTTGACCATGGGCAGTTCCAAGGCACTGATGAACTTTCCTGTCTTTCCAGGCGCCCAGTGAAGTACCTGCTGTGCAGCGACAACCATGGGATCAAGCCCCCGACCCCCGAGCAGTACCTCACCCCTCTCCAGCAGAAGGAGGTCTGCATTCGACACCTCAGGGCCAGGCTGAAAGACACGCACGAGAGGCTGCAGGACAGGTCAGTATTTGGGGGGCTCTTGAATCTGGGGTGAAGGTATTTGAGGCTCGGAATTCCCCCAAACATACTATGTCAGGCAAGCATCATTCAGCCTTGCGGGCCGCTCAGAACTGCACCAGGTGGAACTTTTCAGGCACTAATGATGATAGACTACAATAGCTGGCTTCATGGGAATGACGCATCTTCCTGAGATTTGCTGCGGAAGTGTCTCCTTGCCAGTGCTGAAGATTCAGCTGGAAATTGAGTCAGCTTCTTGCGCTTCACCTCAGGCAGCAAACCCTAACCCTTACTCACAGGTAAGTGTGCATAGGATTGCTGCCTAAGAGAAGCAGATAAAGGTAACTTTGCTGAATGTGTACAGTCTACTCACAGAATTTAACTTTCACTCTATATCAGGGGTAGTCAACCTTTTTATACCTACCGCCCACAAATGCATCTTTCCTGATGGCACAATTTCCTTACCGCCCACCAGTGCTCGATGGAAGGAGGATTCAGTTTGTGCCATAGAATAGAATAGAATAGAATAGAATAGAATAGAATAGAATAGAATAGAATAGAATAGAATAGAATTTATTTAGCGTAGTGGTTAGAGTGTTGGCCTAGGACCAGGGAGACCTGGGTTCAAATCCCTGCTCCGCCCTGAAACTCATTGGGTGACCTTTAACACGGCCTCAGATCCTAATGGTTCCTTGATTTCCCACCATGACATTATCAGTCAGTCGGAGGAAGAAGAAGAAGAAGAGTTTGGATTTGATATCCCGCCTTTCACTCCCTTTAAGGAGTCTCAAAGCGGCTAACATTCTCCTTTCCCTTCCTCCCCCACAACAAACACTCTGTGAGGTGAGTGGGGCTGAGAGACTTCAAAGAAGTGTGACTAGCCCAAGGTCACCCAGCAGCTGCATGTGGAGGAGCGGGGAATTGAACCCGGTTCCCCAGATTACGAGTCTACTGCTCTTAACCACTACACCACACTGGCTGCCTTCTGCTGAGTCTTGACCGCTGGTCCACTTAGCTCAGCATTGTCTACTTGGACTGGCAGGGCTCTCCAGGTTTTCAGAGATCCCCAACCCTATGGAGAGATGCTGGGAATTAAACAAGGGCCTTTCTGCATGAAAAGCGGGTGCTCTAACCACTGAGCTATGCTGCTTTTCTAAATAATAATAATAATAATACCCCACCCATCTGGCTGGGCTTCCCCAGCCACTCTGGGCGGCTTCCAACAAAGTATTAAAATACAGTAGTCTGTTAAACATTAAAAGCTTCCCTAAAGAGGGCTGCCTTCAGGTGTCTTCTAAAAGTTTGGTAGTTGTTGTTCTCTTTGACATCTGGTAGGAGGGCGTTCCACAGGGCAGGCGCCACTACCGAGAAGGCCCTCTGCCTCGTTCCCTGTAACTTGGCTTCTCACAGCGAGGGAATCGCCAGAAGGCCCTCGGAGCTGGACCTCAGTGTCCGGGCAGAACGATGGGGGTGGAGAAGCTCCTTCAGGTATACTGGACCGAGGCCGCTTAGGGCTTTCAAGGTCAGCACCAACACTTTGAATTGTGCTTGGAAACGTACTGGGAGCCAATGTAGGTCTTTCAAGACCGGTGTTATGTGGTCTCGGCGGCCACTCCCAGTCCCCAGTCTAGCTGCCGCATTCTGGATTAGTTGTAGTTTCCAGGTCACCTTCAAAGGAAGCCCCACATAGAGCGCATTGCAGTAGTCCAAGCGGGAGACAACCAGAGCATGCACCACTCTGGCGAGACAGTCTGTTGCAGAGCTAGCAAGGGCAGTGACCGTCTGCTTGTCCGTCTGCTACAGGGATGCAGAGATTGACGACCTGAAGACGCAGCTCTCCAGGATGCAGGAGGAGTGGATTGAGGAGGAGTGCCACCGCGTGGAGGCCCAGCTGGCGCTGAAGGAGGCCCGGAAGGAGATCAAGCAGCTGAAGCAAGTCATCGACACCGTCAAGAACAACCTGATGGAGAAGGACAAAGGGCTCCAAAAGTACTTTGTGGACATCAACATTCAGAACAAGAAGCTGGAGACCTTGCTGCACTGCATGGAGGTTGCCCAGGACGGGACGGTCAAAGAAGAAGGGGCTGCCGAGTCTGCGGGGGGCTCTCCGGCCCGCTCCCTCACCCGCAGCTCCACCTACACCAAGCTGAGCGACCAAGGAGCCGCCGACAGGAACCTGGGCGGCTCCCAGATTTCGGTGGAAGAAGCAGCCGACAGCGGCTTTGTGGCTGCAGACGACTCCTTGAGCCGGACGGACTTGCTGGACCAGAGCAGCCTGCTGTCCTCGGGGGTGGAGTGCGGCACAGACGACACCTCCCTGCAGACCAACTTCACCCTGGGGTCCCGGGTGCCCACCAGCTCCACGTACGAGAAGCTGATGGGGTCTCAGCACAGCGTCGAGGCCGCGGTGCAAGCCAGCTGCATGCAGGAGCAAGCCATACAGACGGACTTTGTGCAGTACCAGCCGGATCTCGATACCATCCTAGAGAAGGTGATGAAATCCCAGGCTTGCAGCCTGGCCAGCCCCACCTCCGTGTGGGTGTCTGAAATGGAGGATGCGGCCGAGCCGCGGAGCTCGGAGATCCAGGGCCACAGCCTTCCTGGGGGGCCCACGGACATGGCAGCTGCTGATCCCAGCTCAGCGGTGTCGATCAGCGCAGTAGAGGAGGGAGAGAACACTACTGAGCAAGCAGCTTCGCCAAGCCCAGTGGCCAACAGCCCAACCGTGTGCCAGCCTTCTAGCGCCAGCCAGTCGGTGAGCGTCATGTGTGCCCCAGAAGAAGAAGAAGAAGAAGAAGAAGCTGAACCAGGCCAGGAGCTCGTAGCAGCAGCAGCAGCGGCGGAGCCTCAAACTTACTGGAGCCGCCACTTCATCGTGGATCTCCTGGCTGTGGTGGTGCCGGCAGTGCCTACGGTGGCCTGGCTGTGCCGCTCGCAGAGGAGGCAGGGCCAGCCCATCTACAACATTAGCTCGCTCCTGCGGGGCTGCTGCACGGTCGCCCTGCACTCCATCCGCAAGATCAGCTGCCGCTCCGTCACCAACACCAGCAGCTCCTGCTCCCAGCCATGACCTCCTTCCCCTGCTCAGCCCGTTGCGCCGCACACATGCTTTGCCCAGAGAGAGCCAGTTCATGGAAACGACCATAATTTAGCTGACCACTGATTGTACATTTCATCCACGCACTGAGACTTTTTATTTATTTATTTCGGTATTTATTTGGGGGGGGCACCTGGGTGACAGTTCTGACCTGCTGCATCTCGATTTATACAAATGACTTGGGGGAGTTAGCGGTGCCCCTCTTTCTGCAACCCTGGAGGAATTGCAAGGAGCTGGGGTTGGGCAGCCGGCCTCCCTGCTGAAGGACCCTCGCGCCATAGGTGCTGTAGCTTGCGGAAGTTTTCCTCTCATTCCACTTCAGGGAAGTTACAAGACTTTTTCCCGATCTCTCTCCTTTCCACAGTAGGCTCTTTCTGGCCATTTTTGCGATCTGCTAGAAAAGCTCCCCGATAACTTGTTTCTTTCTCTTCTGCTTTTTCTATGGCTACTCTAGAAACCACCAGTGTCCCTAATCCTCACTAGGCCACCACCTGTAACCCACTTTTGCTCGCGTTCCCTCACTTACAGGATTTTGCAGCAGTAACTACAGATCCTGCCTGAGCCTTTTGCCGGCTCCCGGTGGGAAGAGAAGGGGCACATCACAGTTGCCTTGCAGTGACGAGATGTATTCTCACCCACTGCCAGGTTGACTCAGAAGTGAGGAGGGAGTGGATTTCATAGCAATCAATCACCTGCTTTGCACGCAGAAGGCTCAAAATTCATTCCCCAGCACCTCCAGGTGGGACTGAGAGAGACCTCTGCCAGTCAGTGTAGGCAGCACTGGCCTAGATGGACCAGTTATCTGGCTCCATGTGAGATAGCTTAATATGGTCCATGGACCCAGAGACATCGGTTTCCTCCTTTCATCCAGTGACAGGCAAAGGGACCGTCTTGGTTCTTTCATGGGGCACAAAAAATAAAGCAGAGCCCTTTCTCCATCTAATGACACAACACCCGTCATCTTCCTGACAGTTTAAAATGGCACGTTCCTTCCTTCGAAATGGGTTACCATTTCCCCAGTCTTACTAAGCAGTCGGCGCTTGCATTTTCAAGCTCAGTTCACAGTTTGTGTTTCTTCTTCTTCCCAAACAAAAAAAGTGACTTTACCAATTTATAATCCCGCATTCCAACCCTCTCCTGTCGCCCTTTCTGTGACATTGATGCCAGTCATTTTGGCACCTTAAGTATGTCCCCTTCCAATCCACTAGGGGCAGTAGCAGGGCTACTCTTCAGTAGTAGCTTCTGCAGGCAGAGAGGCCAGCGCACATGTGCTGCGCATGCGCCCTGGCGCTGGTTCAATACAGTGGTACCTTGGTTTGCATACGTTTTGGATTACAACCACGTCCAACCCAGAAGTGCATGTCCTGGTTTGCAACCTTTTTTTGGATTACAACCCATTTTTTTTGGGATTGCGTACAAAAATTTTTGTAGGTCCCATTGGCAAAAGCGCACCTTGGGTTACAACCTGTTTTGGTTTACAAACGGATCTCCGGAACGGATTATGGTTGTAAACCAAGGTACCACTGTACAGGGAGTCTCCTGTTTGTTCTTAATGCTTTCATTACTGCCTGCCTTAGGCGCAAGTCAATGGACATGATCATGGGGGGGGGAGGGGTAAGAGACCCTGGATAAATCACTGCTGGTCAGGATAGATAATATCATGTTGGGTGGCCTAGAGGTCCGAATAAGGAAACTGCCCAACGCTATCCCATGTCCCTGTGGCTTCATCCTGCTCTGCTCTTTTCCCTGCCCTCACTTGCCAGACAGTGATGCCCAATAAATAGTCTGTTATGCCAGATGCGGGTGGCGCTGTGGGTTAAACCACAGAGCCTAGGACTTGCCTATCAGAAGGTCGGCGGTTCAAATCCCCGCGACGGGGTGAGCTCCCGTTGCTCGGTCCTTGCTCCTGCCCACCTAGCAGTTCGAAAGCACGTCAAAGTGCAAGTAGATAAATAGGTACTGCTCCGGCGGGAAGGTAAACGGCATTTCCGTGCGCTGCTCTAGCTTTGCCAGAAGCGGCTTAGTCATGCTGGCCGCATGACCCAGAAGCTGTATCGCCGGCTCCCTCGGCCAGTAAAGCAAGATGAGCGCCGCAACCCCAGAGTCGTCCGCGACTGGACCTAATGGTCAGGGGTCCCTTTACCTTTTATGCTGGAGTCATGCAATACAACTCCCTTCCCAGCTCAATTTTCTTCCTATTCACCCGCTTCCTTCAGATTCCATGCCCAAAAATCCCCTAAGAACAACAGAACCTTTCAATATGGATGTTCCTTTGGCAAAGTTCACAAAGAGTTGATCCAAACCAGTATCCTTTAGCCCAGTAGTCTTCAGTCTTTTCACACCCAGGATCCACCTTCGACCCAAACATTCCCCCCCCTTTTTTTTTTTACCATAGTGCAACTGCTGCTGTTGTGACCCATCATAGATCAAGCCGTGGCCCAGAAGTCAGTCCCAACCCACCTGTTGAAAAACCAGTGCTTTAACCAACCTCAAATGATGCCCCTCACACCACTAAGATGTGCTGTGCCCCCTTTTCTCTCAAATTCCAGCAACCTGTTTCATGAGCCCACAACTTCTCATTCCTGCCACTGGTGTTCCAATTACCCAGTATGCTTTTCAAAGCAACCGCTAAGGAACAATGCACACAGACACATTCTTGCTGCTTTTTTTGTCCCATTAGTGACGACTCTCCGCACTCTGAGGAGCAACCAGTAGGAAGAGACCTCACGTGGGATGGAATGAATGAATGCCTAGATATATGATTGTTTTAAGACTCGATATATATCTCCTCTAAGTGGTGTAGGAGCCCCAGGGATGACACACTGTGTAGTACTTACAAACTGGATTTTTATTGTTAGGATTTAAGACTCAGGCCAGTCTTGAAGTCGTGCCCTCTGCTTTGGGTTTCCTTTTCCTTAATCCCCAGAGTTGGTTGTGGCTACTCAGGGGGAAGGGAAAGGCACTTTGCACTTTCTCAGAGACACTTCATTTGTTCACATTTCCCAGGGCTAAAGCTGGGGAGCTTTGTCTCACGTCGAGCCCTGATCACTAGCACCCAATGCCCCCAAAGGGTGCTCTACCATGTTCAGAAGTTTGGTTCTCTGATCTGGAAGGCAAGAACTAAACAGGCCGGGCAGGGGAAGCAGACATTTCAAATTTGAGCCTGGGCTCACTTTCGCCTATTTACCCCCAAAGCGTTGCAGAATTACGGAGAGAAAATCCAGCCCTTCTGCCTCCCTTCCCCCACCTGAGAATGTTAAAGGAACGTAGTGGATCACGAATGTTGTGCAAAAACTTCACTTTTGACGACCGCGTCATTGTCACTTCTCCCCATCACGTTCATGACGAGACTTTTCGAACTCTCTTTGGCTCTGACTCCCTCAGCTGGGAACTGAATTTTATGTCGTCCACTTCTTGGAAGCCGCTCCTGGGAAGGGCGGCTGCTGGCCGAGATGCAGAAGAGCCAGATAATATACCTCGCGTAGAGCAACTGGCCGCCCCCCTCGCTTGGGGCAGTAATTAAGGAATCCTTAATTCGGTTTTTGTCTTGCTTTGCACTATGTTCACTTTTGGCAAACTTGAACCCTACCATGCAAAGGTTATCGGCTGACAGCATCAGGCAGTTGGTTTCCTGTCCGCTAACCAACTCTCCGCAGTGCTGTTGGAAAAGCCCATTTTTCAGAACTGAAGAGGTGAAGGAAGCCGGGATACGGTTCTCCTACCTGGTTGCTTCTTCCATAATTAGTATGAGCTTTGAGAGAAGAAATATAAGCCACAGGTGGCTCAATGGGTCCTTTTGTCTTATTTGAGCTTAAGCTTATGGATGTTTGGGCGATGCTGTTGGAGGGAGTTGGGGTATCTGCCTCTGAATGCCTCTCTCTGCTGCACTTCCAGTTCCAGTTCTGGACTACTGGGATGCCACTGGGTGGGCTGGTTTAAAGGGGTTGGTGCGAGCACAGGCCAGGGGAAGTATTTAGTGAAAAGACTGTGCTCCCTTCTCCTCCTCGCATGGAGACTTTCCCCTTCAGTGCTTGAGGGTCAGTTTCATACAGCCTTAAATTCTATGACTGCTATTTACTCTGTATTAGCAAAACGTCTGTCGTCAGGATAGATGGGAGGGAGGGCTTGTGTATTGCAGATCTCTTTGGGGAGGGCACTCCCGTACAAGATCCCTAATTGGGGGGCACGGGGACAACAGGTAAGTTTCGCCCTCCCCACAAAGCATCCCTCAAATGCAATGTGATATCTTTCCTTGTAGGAGTGAGCGACAACCATTTATTCATCTGGGAGAAAGTACTGGGTGCATTCAATGGCGATGGAGCTTAAGATGTTCCTAAAGAAAACCTGCCCTGGCTTGCATGGCCCCTCCCTGTGTTTCTGTTTTTCAGTCCTACTAGAGTATCCAAGAATCATAGAAGTGTAGAGCTGGAAAAGGGAGCCCAGGACTCATCTAAGGAAGTTTTCAATGTTTGAGGTTTTATTGTATTTTCAATATTTTGCTGGGAGCCGCCCAGACCGATTGGGGCAATGCACTCAGATGGGTGGCATAATAATAATAATAATAATAATAATAATAATAATAATAATAATAATTTTTTTATTTATACCCCATCTTCCCCTGCCAGAGCCGGGCCCAGGACGGCTAACACCAGTAAAATAACAGTAAAAACATAGGGGGGGGGACCAATTTAAAATACAGGTTAAAATGCAAATTAAATAATTAAATTACCGTATTTTTTGCTCTATAAGACTCACTTTTTCCCTCCTAAAAAGTAAGGGGAAATGTGTGTGCATCTTATGGAGTGAATGCAGGCTGCTCAGCTATCCCAGAAGCAGAACAGCAAGAGGGATCGCTGCTTTCACTGCGCAGCGATCCCTCTTGCTGTTCCGGCTTCTGAGATTCAGAATATTTTTTTTCTTGTTTTCCTCCTCCAAAAACTGGGTGCGTCTTCTGGTCTGGTGCGTCTTATAGAGCGAAAAATATGGTAATTTAAAATTAGTACTGTTATTATCATTAAAGCATAAGATGATGGGATGAAATAAAAATGTGAATGGACAAAAGAAAACTTAATTTTTCCTTCAGGTTTTTCGGCAGAGGCTGGATGGCCGTCTGTGAGGGATTCTTTAGCTGAGATTCCTGCATTGCAGGGAGTTGAACTTCATGACCCTTGGGTTCCCTGCCAGCTCTACAGTTCTGTGATTCTATTTTTTAAAAAATGGCCTGTCCATTTCTTGAAACCGTCCATCCTACACCTGATCAAGTTGCCGCAAGCCGTTGCAAGGCCACAGGACTGGGCAGGGGAGGAAATAGCCAAGCAAACATTGCTCCAAGCTTGGCTGTCCCGGCATTGCTGGGTCTCCGGGCGAGGAGATGAAGGCAATGGCAAAAGGCGGGTGGAGAAAATGGCTGTGTCTT